GCATGCAAGGCAAGCACTCTACCACTGAGCCACCTTCCCAGCCCTTACCTCATTCTTAAAGAAGCACAACAGCATGAAGAATATGTAATCTATATTCAGGCTGCCTGGGGTCAACCTCAGCTCCAGTACAAATTAACCATGTGACCTTGAGCAAACTCCTTAAACTGGTAAGTAGTACCTCCATCTCACAGAACAGTTTTAAATATTAAGTAAGATAATATGTGTGAGCACTTTCAAGCATGCCTGGAATACAGTACACTATATGGAAAAGTTTGCTATCATTATGATAACAAAACTACCACACTACTTAGGCACCTGCCCAAGAAACACATGAGAGATTTAGCGTGCTCATTATCAGAGCAATCTATCCAAGGTGAATCTCCCAAAGAGGGCCTAGGAATTTGCTAAACATGTCCTCCAAGTGATTCTGCTGCCAATAATCTTAGACCACAGAAACTAAAAAAAAAAAAAAACCAGAGCTATAGCGTCCTCCTCTCCCAGACTCATCTCCTGCCTCTCCATCACTATGCTTAAACACCTTATCTAAATTCTTGTGGTTCTTAGAAAATACTCAGACTTCTCTCTATTTGCACTCTATCACTCTCTTCTGTAATGCTGCTTCTCTCTCTTCACCTGGAAGGTAAAACTCAGCCTTCATCTTTCTAGACTGACCACTTCCTTTATGCCCCTTTTCAGTTCTAATCCCCCTCTAACCTCCACTCACTGAAGTTACCACATCCAGTTCTTCCCCTAGCACTCAGCAACTACTAACTCCACATACTATTTCCAAGGGCCTATTTACATGTCTGTATGCCACTAATTGGGTTTTCTGAAATCTGGAATTTCAGGTTAGCTTAATTTTGCAGCCTTAATGCCGTGCCTAAGGAATGTCTCCTCCATAAATGCTTACTGAATAAACAAAGCTAAATTACAAATCGGGAAGACTGAAGGCCAGAGTGAATTCTGGTACTCTAACATTACCATCAACCTGCAAACATAGTCTCTCTTTATAACTTCTTCATTGTAGTATTAATAAATACACAATTATCACCATTCCTATAACAGACAGTTAAATTATTGTTAACAGCCAAGCTCATTAACTACCCAAAACAGCAGAAACCAACTCTCAACCACAATGAAATTAATTCTTAAAGCCAAACAAGTTGTATCTAAAACACTTGCTCTCTGAAGCAAAATGATACAATTTAGCAGTGGCTGCTATACTATACATTAAAACTATGCAAACTAGGTTATGCAAACAGGATAGCAGTTCACTTTTAAGGAAGCAGGAAAATCAATCAACCACAAAGACCTATTTAAAAATAGAGAGGAATGATAGGCTTCAAAGAGTGAAATTCCTCAATGTAACTATTTTAAGTTGAGTAAAGAAGCAAGGGAGAGTAATAGTAGCTATAGTTGACATCTTTGCCTTCAAAATGCCAAACTGTCCTTCCCATATCCCCAGATACACCACCTTCTGCCCTGCTATAGCGTATTTTCTTTTCCATTTTCACTCCTTCAATATTGACTGACAATCAATATGCTAGACAAGACAGTGGCCCTATTCTCCTGTATCTCATGTCCATTCAATTAATTATTCAATTGTTTAATAGGAATACACTAAATACCACTACCAAGAATGAGAGAATTAACAAAGTGCATAAACTACCCCCCCCAAAAAAAATGTGTCTCAAAGAATCCATCCCAGGCTTTCTTCTAAACTGAAACCCAATCATCTTGCAGTTTCTTACTACAGAAACTTAACTATCTCTCTGTGTGAGCACTCCGTTCAGAAACCATTCTGTGTAAGTGCCAGGTTTCCAATTGTAGCTCTCAGATGTACCACAAAAGAAGATAAAGAAATTAAACTGGTTCAAGAGCAGTTTTCCACCAGCTGTTCTTACAGTATCAATTTTTCTCTACATCTCTTTGCTCTAATAAAGGGTCACACGAGGGTATAAAAACCTCTTTTGAATGTTTTGACTCTACACACTACGGGGATGAGGAGAACTGCTCCAGTTCAATCAGCTTATAAAGCACTTATTAGCCCAAGACTTCACAATAGGAATGCAATAAGAGAAAGAAAAGATCTGAGTACCGTTCACATTTTAAAAAAAACTGATCAAACAGATTCTTCTTTTAGACACCTCGAAATTCATATTGTAACATAAACACAATATTGCAGAATCCTCACCTTTTACAATGTTTAGATTTAAAGGTTGTGCTCCTTTATTCCCCCAAAAAGCCTTAATGTAACTAAAATAAAATCAACAAACTGTATTTTAGTGAACATTGGACATTTGCTAAATTGACCTTTGTTTTCCTGGATGATAGGAAATCTGTTGTCAGTCACAGGAACTGAGTCAGATAAGGGAAGAAGAAAAAGGGGACAGAAAAAAATTACACTGAAATTTCTGGTAAAGTAGGACACTTGTCCAGCTGAAAATACAAATCTAAGAAGATTGCTTATAAGAAAAAGAGGATTCCCAAATAGACACAGCTACAAATAAAACAACTACCTTATCAGCATTTATTTGGAAAGTAGCTCCCTCGCCAGAAAAAAAAATTTACATGTCAATATTTACAGTACAGAACAGAAAAACACAAATGGGTAGAGCTTAAAGCAAAACGGGAGATAGCTGGGTTAATAGCCTTACAAAATGGAAGTCATAAAACCCTAGCCTGAGTTACCGATGCTCCTGAACTTCTTTCCATTTAGTTTTCAGACAAGTCATGACCTCTGTTCAGAATAGTATAGCACATTGCTTGGAAGCAGACGAACATACTACATGGACTTCTCAGGCCAGTTTTTCTATAGCAGTTAAACAAAACCCGTTAAGATTTTTTTCCAGCTATTCATTCCACAAATGTTTACTGGGTATCTACCTACACAAAGTAGCACAAAGTGCTCAGACTATGATAGTTTGTAAAGTCTCATCATTTGGACATTGCATTCTAAATAAGTGACACACTGAAGAATTTCACGTATGAGCTGAGCACTCAAAGAAAGAAAGGGATACTTAGGAAGGGCTTGTCTGATGAAGTAACATCCTCACTTGACATGAGGATGAACCCGTTGCCAGAATGAAAGATTAAAACCCACGATTTCAGGCTTGGGCGAACTGGATGGTTAGCTGAGCCAGTCACTGGTTGACAATGCAGAAGAGCTAAATAGGAATTCCGTTACCCGCTGGTATTTACTGGCAGGCTCCTTCTGTACCAGGAGCTTCTCAAATCCTTACAATCACTTTGCTCAGTAGAAATTCATATTCCCAGTTTATGGACACAAAAAGATAGAGGCCGACTCGGGTTTAAATGACTAGCCCGCGCGGCCTGATAAAGAAACTTGACATGGGCATCAGGTTCATAATGTACTGGAAAGCCCGCGCAGTTTGCACTAAACAGTTCTTTCCAGTGCACCTATATTTCCACTGGCAGCCTCAGCGCCACAGGCTACGGCTGAGGAACCCTCTTTGCTGGAAGCAGAAATGGGGTGCAGCCATCAGAGCAAGGCCTCCGTAAATCACTCTCCCCTCCCTGGGGCCTCGTCTTGCCAGACTTGATCATCCCCATCTCTGAAGTTGCATGCAAGAAAGCCAGGTAGAAAGTTCCCGCAGACGAAGAAAATTAACACAGAAGGGAACTGCATCCTGATTCAAGGAGGCGAGATAGAGAAATAAAAGGAGAGAGAGAAATCATCTCGTCCCGCCAACGCGGAGAAGTCCGTCTCCACAGGGTGATCACCGAAGCAGACGGAGGAGACGGTGATTTCCACCAAGAGATCGTTGATCTCCCTGTGGGAGGGCGGTCGAGTCGGGGCGGCGGGCCTAGGGATGCTTCCACGCCCCCTCCGACCCTGAGTCTCCCCAGACCCACAGGGACCCAGCAGAAACTCCCGCCAGCATGCCCCGAGCCACGCGGCGGGCACAAGGTGACACGGACCGCGCCGGCCCCTCGGCCACCTGGGCGCGGCCAGGACGAGGAGGGAGAGGGGCGTCCGCCTGCTCGCACTACCTTGTATTTATCAAAGCCAGCCAGCTGCTCCGGGCTCACATATTCGTAACCAGCCATGACGACCTGAAAACCGAGCGCCCCCTCGGTAGGCAGCCGCAGCGACTCTCCGCGACCAGGCGGGGAAACACGAGCACCACACACGGGATGGGCCAGGCTGGGAAAGACAGGGCTGGGTGAGAAGGTGGAGGAGCCGTGCTCCGCCCACCGCGCACGCGTAGCGGCCCCGACCACTTCCGTCGCCTCAGTGCGCAAGCGTATCCAGCCTCTTCTCCCCACCCACCAAGGGGAGGGGCGCTAACCTGCGCACGGCCCGCCCCCTGGCGCTTTCTTAACCCAATTGGTGCGAAGCGGGAGACACTAAGTCCCGCCTTCCAGCTCTCCTCGTGGCTTCATTTGCTAGCGTCAAAATTGGTGAGCTGAGGTAAGGCAAGAAAGGAGGGGAAAGGTCAACTTCCCAGCAGGCCTTACTCCGGTTCTCAAGGAAGATGCTTGTTTTCCCGGCCTCTGAGTGTGGGCGGAGGTATTGGGGTACCTTTTAGTCCTGGGGTGCATGCCGGAGGAGCATAGTGAGCTGGTTTGATGTAGGGAAAGCGGAGGTGTGGCCGGAGAGAATGGAAGCCCCGATGTGGTCCGTAAAGGAACTTGGAAGGCCATCAACCCCTCAGGGCGCCGTAGCCTGCGGACCTGGGTGGGCCCCGAGACCCGCTGGGCTCGGAAACCGTTCCGAACCGAGTTCAGGTCGCTGAAGTCTCCCGACAGGGTTAGTGTGGAAATCACTGTGTCTTGACCGTCTTCAAATAAGTTTGCAAGAAGTGTTTGCGTCTGTGGACAATGCGTTGCAGATAAACACCTGGTCAGTGGCTAATATGTATCTAGTAATACGGTAATTTGTATAGCAGTTGCTACTTTCTGGTAAGTGTTTCGTATGCCCAGTTTTCTGTCTGCAAGCATCCTTAATAACATTTGGAGTGGAAGATACTTCGCAGCTTTTAGCATTTAAAGTTCAGATTACAAAGGCTGGGAGTGTAGCTCAGTGCCGGAGCTGTGCCTAGCTTGCACAGTGCCATGGGAGGGGATTATATAACCTACCCCAGTCACTTGGTTTTACACAGCTTGGAAATGGTTAACCCTACACGACATGTGGTTTTGTAATACATAAAGCCTCTACACTGGGGAGTCTGTTCGCCTCCTTGGATCCCTCAAACAAGGGCAGTTATTTTGAAATTTCTTTATGTGTTCCTTGGATTCATTCATTCAACACATACTGGGGGCCTAAGATAGCTAAGGCAAGCACATTGTTTTCTCCCTAAGTCTTGTCTCCCCTCCTAAAGCGTAACATTCTCAAGGAGTAATAAATATAAAGCATCCATTGTGCCAAATAATGCTCTACTTTTTATAGTTAAGAGATTTCCTCTGCTATGTAATTCCTTCAAACAATGTAAATATGAAACAAAGGATTTGATATCAAGTGGTTTTTAATATAAGCCCTTTCTTCCCTAAAATACAAACTTCATACTTATAAAACATATTAGTTATTATAGAAAGCCATAAAATGTGGCTTGAGTACAAGGTAATAATCATACCCAAGCTGGGCACTGATGGCTCTAGCCTCTACTCAGGAGGATGAGATCTGAGGATGGAGGTTCAAAGCCAACCAAAGCAGGAAAGCAAGACTTTTTCAAGTGGGGGTGTGGCATAAGCTGTAGAGCTCACAGCCTTGTAGATGTGAGGGTGAACACCAAGTGAAAACACAAGGCCCTGAGTTCAAGCCCCACATACACACACACACACCTGCCTTATAGTGTGTGGTTCTTTTTTTTTTTTTTTGGTCCGGTTGTGGGACCTGAACTCTGGGCCTGGATGCTGTCCCTCAGCTCTTCAGCTCAAGGCTAGCGCTCTACCACTTGAGCCACAGAGCCACTTCCGGCTTTTTTCTTTTTGCTTATGTGGTGCTGAGGAATAGAACCCAGGGCCTCGAGCATGCAAGGCAAGCGCTCTACCACTGAGCCACTTTCCCAGCCCCTGAGATTTTTTTTAAACTTTAACTATGAAGAAAAGAAACAGTGTTGTTTAAGAAGAGGGACAATTGGGATAGTGAGATGAAAAAGGCATGAAAGGAGCAAAGCCAAGATTAGAGATAGGTTATCACAAGCCAAGGAGCACCAGGAGCCATCAGAAGCTCCCATAGGGAGAGAAAGAACAGGCTTGCCAATACTTTGATTTTCTAGGCTTGTGGAAAAATTATGAGAAAATAAGTATCTGTTGCTTAAAGCTACCCATTGTGTGAGAACTTTATAGCATTCCTAAGAAGCTAATGATGATAAGTGACCCATCCTCCCATATCCCAGAAAAATAACAAACTGGGTATGTCAACTCAAGTCAGTGCAAAACCTTCTTAAATGACCACTTAAACTGTGCCATGAAGACGAAAAATACAGAAAAGGCTAAAAGTGTGGCCAAGAGGGAACACATCTGCCAGTAAGCATTAAGTCCAAGTTCAAAAAAAAAACCCCAAAACTAAGCCAGGTGCTGGTGGCTCAGGCCTGTAATCCTAGCTACTCAAGAGGCTGAGATCCGAGGACCGTGGTTCAAAGCCAGCCTAGGCAAGAAAGTCTATGAGACTTTTATCTCTAATTAACTGCCAGAAAATCAGAAGTGGTGCTGTGGCTCAAGTAGTAGAGCCCTAGCCTTGAGCTGAAGAGCTGAGGGACAGTGCCCAGGCCGACCAAAAATAACAAAAAAAACAAAACCATATGTTACATAAGTGAATACATATATATGAATAAATATTCACTAACTTACACATGTAAGATCTGTGTGTTTATATATAAGAAAAACAGGGAGCCGGGCACTCACGTCTATAATCCTAGCTATTCAGGAGGCTGAAATATGAGGATCATGGTCTGAAGCCAAGCCCTAGCAGGAAAATCTGTGAGACTCTTATCTCCAATAAACTACTCAAAAAACCCAGAAGTGGCACTGTAGCCTTGAGCACAAAGAGGCTCTGGGACAGAGCCCAGGTCCTGAGTTCAAATCCCAGGACAGGCAGGTGTAGCTCAGTGGTAGAGTACTTGACTAGCTTATTGCAAGTCCCTAGGTTCCATCCCTATCACCTCAAAAAAATAAATAAATAAAAATAAGCAGGTATAGTAGTTTATATCTATAGTCCCAGCTGCCTGAAAGGCTGAGGTGGGAGAGCTCAGTCTGAATAGCATTCTGAGCCCTGTCTCAAGAGAGAGAAAGAGAGAGAGAGAGAGAATATGTATGACTCTTCTCCATACACACTGGAGGAAAAGGTACATGCCAAAATTATTTCTTCCAAGCCAGGCGCCAGTGGCTCACACCTGTAATCCTAGCTACTCAGGAGGCTGAGACCTGAGGATCATGGTTCAAAACCAGTCCAGGCAAGGAAAATCTGTGAGATTCTTATCTCCAATAAACCACTAGAAAACCGGAAGTGGCGCTGTGGCTCAAGTGGAAGAGCACTCGCCTTGAGATAAAGAGCTGAGGGACAGTGCCCAAGCCCAGAGTTCAAGCCCCATGACTGACCAAAAAAAAAAAAAGATTATTTCTTCCAGGCAGAGATGTGCAAAAAGTACAAAGACCATAAAGCTAAAAATAGCTGAACTACTAAAGGAAGGCCATGGGAGAGTGAAGAAGGGAGTATGAAATAAGCTTGGAAAGGTGGCAGGCACCACTCAGCAGGACCACAGTGAATTAAGATTTTGCTCAAAGCAAAAAAAGCTCATTTATATTTTTAGTGTATCATTCTCACAATATAGAAAATGGACTGAAGGTTAACAAAAGTACACAAGGGAAAGACCAGTGGAACTGCTAGAGTTCCTCAGGTGAGCGTTCATTCGGCTAACATCAACCATTTAGTATTTAGAAGCTGAAGTCTTCAGAATAATGCCTTCTAAGACAATTCCAAAATATGCTGTGAAAAGGGCCAAAGGAAGAAGGAACCTGAAATATGTTAAAAATATGAAAAACATTCTAGGACCTATAAGTACTGTTTGCTTGCTTTTTGTTCTTTGGCAATACTGGGGTTGAACTCAGGGCCTCACAACTTGCTAGGCTAAGTGCTCTACCTCTTGAGCCACATATTCATCACAAGTACTGTCTTTATACAGATATTCTATTTCAATCCCTTCTGTGTAGAGATTAGAGAACTACACTGAAATGCCCTGGCACTAAAACTAAACACTGAGACTACAGCCCCAAGTAATGCTCTAGTATCTATTATCAATAGCAGATTTCCCCTGCCTTGTTTTTAGTCAACATAATAACAGGCCTCTTACTATCAAACAATTTTACTAGAAAGCCTGTTCTTACCTGAAATGTACACTTTCTTTTTTTTTTTTTCCCGTCAGTCATGGGGCTTGAACTCTGGGCCTGAGCATGGTCCCTGAGCTCTTCAGCTCAAAGCTAGTGCTCTACCACTTGAGCTATAGCGCCACTTGTGGTTTTTTGATTGTTAACTAGAGATAAGTCTCATGGACTTTCCTGGGCAGGCTAGCTTTAAACTACAATCCTCAGATCTCAGCCTCCTGAATAGCTAGGATTGTAGGCATGAGCCACCAGCACCTAGCTGAAATGTACACTTTCTAAGCGTAAAACATATATCTACTTAATTACAGAAGCCCATAAAATGTGGCTTGACTATAAACTCGTGACAATTTGAGAACTGCATTTATTGTTAATCACTTCAGATGGAAGCAAAGTTAAATGTTTCTGACTTTTTTTTTAATTTCCAAAATTCTTGAGCTCAAAATCATTCATGGTAGTCTTGTTTTTTAGAAGTAAAAAGCAATATAGTTCACAGCTGGGTCCACTGTGTGAATTATATTTATTATCCATAGCAATTTCCCCAACATAATGAAATAAAATACTAATTATTAACCTCTCAAGAAAGCTAAGGGGGAAAGGAGTGGTTTGCCTATAATCCCAGCAACTCAGGAGGCTGAGGCAAGAGGATCAAGTTTGAGGCCCGCTTGCGCTATGAACTAGCTTGGGCTACGAACTAGCTTCAGGCCAGCTGGTGCTACCCTGTCTCAAAAACATAAAACAAATTAACAAAAGAACCCAAGAGACAACAAAGGAATGCCTTTTGTCTTCCTTCCTACAAGATGAAGTCCAATGTCCACTAGCATAGCAAGGTATGGCTCTGAGGTCACTCCCTT